TCAAAATTTACTTTCTAGAAAATTGACACCTGTCAAAATGTCATAGTTTTGACAATATGATGTCACTTATTATAGTCATAGATAAAATATTTGTTGATTGAAATTTAAAAAAATTAACAGTGGTCAAAATTTACTATTTTAAAAATTGACACCTGTCAAAATGTCATGATTTTGACAATACGATGTCAATTATTAAAGTCATAGATAAAATCTTTGTTGATTGAAATTCATTTTTTTTTGACAGCTGTCAAAATTTACTTTTTTAAAACTTGAAACCTGTTAAAATGTCATAATTTTGACAATACGATGTCTATTGTTGAAATCGTAGATGAAATCTTTGTCGATAAATATTGAAATTTTTTCGCCAGCTGTCAAAATTTACTTTTTTAAAAAATGGACACCTGTCAAAATTTCATGATTTTGACAATACGATTTCAATTATTAAAGTCATAGATAAAATCTTTGTTGATTGAAATTTAAATTTTTTTACAACTGTCAAAATTCTTTTTTTTAAAAATTGACACCTGTCAAAATGTCATAATTTTGACAATACGATGTCAATTATTAAAATCGTAAATGAAATCTTTGTCGATAGAAATTGAAATTTTTTCGCCAGCTGTCAAAATTTACTTTTTTAAAAAATGGACAACTGTCAAAATTTCATGATTTTGACAATATGATGTCAAATATTAAAGTCGTAAATAAAATCTTTGTTGAAGAAAATTGATTTTTTTTACAGCTGTCAAAATTTACCTTTAAAAAAATTGACACCTTTCAAAATGTCATAATTTCGACAATATGATGTCAATTATTAGAGTCGTAGATAAAATCTTTGTTGATTGAAATTCAAAAAAAATTGACAGCTGTTTAAATTTATTTTTTAAAAATTTGACACCTGTCAGAATGTCATGATTTTGACAATATGATGTCAATTATGAAAGTCGTAGATAAAATCTTTGTTAATTGAAATTCAAAAAATTTGACAGCTGTGAAAATTTACTTTTAAAAAAATTTAACACTTGTCAAAACGTCATGATTTCGACAATCTGCTGCTAAAATCTTTATTGATTGGAATTATTTAAAAAAAAAAAATGACAGCTGTCAAAATTTACTTTTTAGAAAATTGACACCTGTCAAAATGTCATAATTTTGACAATACGATGTCAATGATTATAGTCATAGATAAAATCTTTGTTGATTGAAATTTAAAAAAATTTAACAGCTGTCAAAATTTACTTTTTAAAAAATTGACACCTGTCAAAATGTCATGATTTTGACAATACGATGTCAATTAATAAAGTCATAGATAAAATCTTTGTTGATTGAAATTGAAAAAAAATTAACAGCTGTCAAAATTTACTATTTTAAAAATTGACACCTGTCAAAATGTCATGATTTTGACAATACTATGTCAATTATTAAGGTCATAGATAAAATCTTTGTTAATTGAAATTTAATTTTTTTGACAGCTGTTAAAATTTATTTTTTAAAAATTTGACACCTGTCAGAATACATGATTTTGACAATATGATGTCAATTATGAAAATCGTAGATAAAATCTTTGTTAATTGGAATTCAAAAAATTTGACAGCTGTGAAAATTCAATTTTAAAAAAAATTAACACCTGTCAAAACGTCATGATTTCGACAATTTGATGCTAAAATCTTTATTGATTGGAATTATTTTAAAAAAAATGACAGCTGTCAAAATTTACTTTTTAGAAAATTGACACCTGTCAAAATGTCATAATTTTGACAATGTGATGTCAATTATTATAACCATAGATAAAATCTTTGTTGATTGAAATTTAAAAAAAATTAACAGCTGTCAAAATTTACTATTTTAAAAATTGACACCTGTCAGAATGTCATGATTTTGACAATATGATATCAATTATGAAAGTCGTAGATAAAATCTTTGTTAATTGAAATTCAAAAAATTTGACAGTTGTGAAAATTTACTTTTAAAAAAAATTAACACCTGTCAAATCGTCATGATTTTGACAATTTGATGCTAAAATCTTTATTGATTGGAATTATTTTTAAAAAATCACAGCTGTCAAAATTTACTTTTTAGAAAATTGACACCTGTCAAAATGTTATCATTTTGACAATATGTCAATTATTATAGTCATAGATAAAATCTTTGTTGATTGAAATTTAAATTTTTTTTACAGCTGTCAAAATTTACTTTTTTTTTAAATTGACACCTGTCAAAATGTCATAATTTTGACAATACGATGTCAATTATTAAAGTCATAGATAAAATCTTTGTTGATTGAAATTCAAATTTTTTTGACAGCTGTCAAAATTTACTTTTTTTTAAAAATTGAAACCTGTCAAAATGTCATAATTTTGACAATACGATGTCAATTATTAAAGTCGTAGATGAAATCTTTGTCGATAAAAATTGAAATTTTTTCGCCAGCTGTCAAAATTTACATTTTTAAAAAATGGACACCTGTCAAAATTTCATGATTTTGACAATATGATGTCAAGTATTAAAGTCGTAAATAAAGTCTTTGTTGAAGAAAATTGATTTTTTTTGACAGCTATCAAAATTTATCTTTAAAAAAATTGACACCTTTCAAAATGTCATAATTTCGACAATATGATGTCAATTATTAGAGTCATAGATAAAATCTGTGTTGATTGAAATTTTAAAAAATTTAACAGCTCTCAAAATTTACTATTTTAAAAATTGACACCTGTCAAAATGTCATGATTTTGACAATACTATGTCAATTATTAAGGTCATAGATAAAATCTTTGTTAATTGAAATTTAATTTTTTTGACAGCTGTCAAAATTTACTTTTTTTTTAAATTAAAACCTGTCAAAATGTCATAATTTTGACAATACGATGTCAATTATTAAAGTCGTAGATGAAATCTTTGTCGATAGAAATTGAATTTTTTTCGCCAGCTGTCAAAATTTATTTTTTTAAAAAATGGACACCTTTCAAAATGTCATAATTTCGACAATATGATGTCAATTATTAGAGTCGTAGATAACATCTTTGTTGATTAAAATTTAAAAAAAAATGACAGCTGTTTAAATTTATTTTTTAAAAATTTGACATCTGTCAGAATGTCATGATTTTGACAATATGATATCAATTATTAAGGTCGTAGATAAAATCTTTATTAATTGAAATTCAAAAAAATTTGACAGCTGTGAAAATATACTTTAAAAAAAAATTAACACCTGTCAAAACGTCATGATTTCGAAAATATGATGTCAATTATTACAGTCGTAGCTGAAACTTTATTGATTGGAATTATTTTAAAAAAATTATTGAAGTCGTAGAAAAAATCTTTTTTAATTGAAATTATTTAAAAAAAATGACAGCTGTCAAAATTTATTATTTTAAAAAATTGACCTGTCAAAATGTCATTATGTTGAAAATACGATATTAATTATTTAAGTCGTAAATAAAATCTTTGTTGATTAAAATTGTAATTTTTCTATCAGCTGTCAAAATTTACTTTTTTTTTTAAAAAATTGACACTTGTCAAAAGATTTTAACAATACGATGTCAATTAAAGTCGTAGATAAAATCTTTGTTGATTGAAATTGTTTTTTTTTTGACAGCTGTCAAAATTTACTTTTAAAAAAGTGACACCTGTCAAAATGTCATTATTTTATACGATGTCAATTATTTAAGTTGTAAATAAAATTTTTGTTGATTAAAATTGGATGGAGAGCTGTCAATTTTTATTTTATTTTTTTAAATTGATACCAATATGATGTTTATTATTAAAGTTGTAAATAAAATCTTTGCTGATTGAAATTGAAAATGTTTTGACAGCTGTCAAAATTTATTATTTTAAAAAATTAACACCTGTCAAAATGTCAGGATTTTGAAAATATGACGTCAATTATTGAAGTTGTAAATAAAATCTTTGTTGATTGAAATTGAATTTTTTTTTGACAGCTGTCAAAATTTACTTTAAAAAAAATATGACACCTGTCAAAATGTCATATGATTTTGATAATAAGTGTCAATTTCAATCTTCAAATCAACAGATCTCAAAATTCGAATTTGTTCAATGAATTTTTCTAAAGAATTGACATCTGTCAGATAATGTAATGTTTTTGATAATGAGATGTCAAATATTGGGGTGGAAAATGAAATTTTGTTGGTGATATTTTGCAAATTAAATTAGAAGAATAACTTGAAAAAATTTGATAGAAAAAAATTGACACCTGTTTAATGTCAGAATTTTTGACAATGAGATGTCAATTATTGGGGTCGTAAATAAAATTACGTGGTTGTTATTTTGAAATTAAATACGTACTGTTAAAAATTAAAGGATTTTGATAATATGTCAATTATCGGAGTCGTGGATAAAATTTTGTGGGTGAAGTTTCGAAAATTTGAAAAAATTATTCGAAAATTTTGAGAGAAAAAAATTGACTCCTGTCAAATGTCACGATTTCTGATAATGAGATGTCAATTATTGGGGTCGAAGAAAAAATCTCTGTTGATTGAAATTTTGAATAAATTTGACAGGTGTCAAAATTGAATTTGTAAAAAAATTGACACCTGTCAAAATGTCATAGAAATATAGATATTGACAATCAGATGTCAGGTTTTTGATCAAATTAGAATTCTACTTTTATAACGTCATGAAAGTAGAATTCTACTTGTCGTGATCCCAGCCCTCAACAACCGTAAAAAAGGATTCTATTTGAACAATAACAAGAGAATTGAAAAGTAAAATAGAATTCTATTTATTGTTGCAGTGCCTGTATTACCGGCTTTTACGGAACGTCATCTATCGACCTGACGTCATGAAAGTAGAATTCTAATTGTTGCGATCCCACAGTTCTCAACCGTGAAAAAGAATTCTATTTAAACAATGACAAGTGACTTAACTAAAATAGAATTCTATTTATCGGTGCAGGTGTCTGTATTACTGGCCTTCACGGAACGCCATCTATTGACAATCGACTCATCTATAGAAATCGCATTGAAAAGCTTTAGGTGCGAACAAATTTTTCGTCTTTATCATTCTCATTTACATTTGACATCTGATAACATTGCAAAATCTTAACATCTTAAAGGCCTGTAATTTTCTACAAATTATATTTTTTGAATCACATTTTGCCTTACAACTTTGTTAATTTCAAGCCGATTTTAACGTACGTAGGCTCAAAATAAAGCCAATTAAAACCTCTATACAACTACAAATATAAATTGAACTAACCTTTGTCCGTTTTTCTCATTGTCTTGCACCTTATCAACCCATTTCGGTAATGTTCTCATAGTTATTTTTCAACTTAAAACTCGCTATATTATGTTGACAACAACCCGTTACCAAGGCAACTAAACCCACCCAACGGTTGATTGGCCTTGTGCACCTGCCCATCATGCATGGTACCTTTTTTAGTCAGCGGTCAAATGATTATCTATTTTCAGAACCAAAAGGTTTTATTGCGAGCCTGATTTGCTGTCAACGAGCAGGTAAATCGTTTTGAAACTACTATATTGCACAAACGATTTATTTTTGCACCAAATTATAATAGTTAATTGAAATTACTTCGTTTATATAATACCTAATATATATATAGATTTGACCAAAGAAGGATTTTCCAAGGACATTTGCCGCAGCATGATTGCAATGATGGACTTTGACCGCTCAGGCAAGTTGGGCTTTGACGAATTCAAAGAATTGTGGCTCGCCCTTAGAAATTGGAAAGTAATATTGATTCAAATTAGGAAAAATTATTGCAAGTTAATTATAATATGGAATTATTCTAGAACGCTTGGACATTGTATGACGTTGACAGTTCGGGGAGTTTTAGCGGTTTTGAGCTGAGACAGGCAATCGAATCTGCCGGTTATTTGTTGAATAATCGGGTTCTCAACGCCCTAATGCACCGCTATGGGAGCAAAAATCGGGAAATCCGATTTGATGATTTCATGATGTGCGCCATTAAAATTAAAACTATGATCGGTATAATATAGGAGTTAATTAATTGATTTTTATTAATTATAATTAGGTAATTTGTAGATATTTTTAAGGCCAAAGACGAGGTTGGGACTAATACAGCCGCTTTTAGCTTCGAAGAATGGATGGAGTATACTTTATATGCTTAGAAACGGTACATGCCCCTCACGCTGCCATATTTGTAAACGGTACATGCCTCACACGTGTTAAACAAGGATGCACAGTTTTTATCTGTCAAAATAAAAATAAACAATTAGTAGCTTGTGTACAATTATTACGTTTAAAAAACGTTTTTACCCTTTTAAAATAGCAAATATTGATCACCCTGTATCTTTACCTTTTACACAGTGGTGGAATTGTTTTCAATTAGGAGATTTCCTGCAAAAGTTGGGAATAATAAAATATTGATCACTCTGTATCTTTATACAGTGGCTTATTTTTGTTGAGTTAAATTACAGTCTGTAAAATTGTTCTCTATTACCGGCTCTCGTGAAAGAAATTCTACATTAAGAGCTGGAAATAATGAAATATTGATCACCCTGTATCTTTACACAGTGGTGGAATTCTTTCCAATTAGGAGATGAAAATCACTCCATAAAAAATTCTGGAAAATTGACTTATTTAAGCAAAATTAAGGAAAATTCACCATCTTACATTTTAATTTTTTTTTGGAAAACTGGCAAAGAGAAAATTTTGAAAATTTTCCAAGAAAAAGAGGAAAGTAAGGAGCTCATTATAGGAAAATTACGAAATTTTTCAGTAAAGGTGCGATTTCGGTGGTGCTGCGCAGTTATATTATTGGATAAAAATTGTCACTTTTGACAGGTGTCAATTTTTGTCTCTTTGAGTTTTTTTTTTTTAAATTTAATTTCAAAATGTCATCTACAAAATTTTATCTACGACCCCGATAATTAACATCATATCAAAATTGTGACAGTTTGACAGTTGTCAATTTTTTTACTAACTAGTTGAACAATTTTGACAGCTATTGGAAATTTTCTAATTTTAATTAACACAATTATTAACACAAACGCGAAGCTCAATAAAATTAACATTTTATTATTAAAATTGTATGACATTTTGACAGATGTCATTTTTTTTACAAATTCGCTGAATAAATTTTATTTTGACAGCTGTTGAAAATATTTCAATCAACAAAATTTACAGGAATTTGAAGCTCATTAATTGACATCTCATTATCAAAATTATATGACATTTTGACAGATGTCAACTTTTTCATAAATTCACTGGACAAATTCAATTTTGACAGTTGTTAAAAAAAATCAATTTTAATGAACAAAAATGATAAAAATTGACATTTTATTTTTAAGATCATATGACATTTTGACAGATGTAATTTTTTTTACAAATCCAATTTTGACAGCTGTCGAAAACTTTTCAATTTCGATTTATAAAAATTTTATTTACGGCCCCAATAATTGACATATTGTTAAAATTGTGATATTTGACAGGTGTCAATTTTGTTCTGACAAATTTTTCGAGCTATTTTGCCAATACAATTTTAATATGTCACCTACAAAATTTTATCTACAGAAGCAATAATTGATATTATATTATCAAAAATCGTGACATTTGACAGATGTCAATTTTCTTCTGTTAAATTTTTCGATTTTTTTTTCAAAGTTAATTTTTAAATGTCACCTATAAAATTTCATCTACGATCCTAACAACTGACATTATATTGTCAAAATTATAATGACATTTTAAGGTGTCATTTTTTTTTTGCAAAAATACTGGGAAAAATTCAACTTTGACAGCTGTCAAAAAAATTTCAATTTCAATCAAAAATGACACAAACTTGAAGTTAAATATTTGACAACTCATCTCAATGTTAAAAATCGTGACATTTTAACAAGTGTCACTTTTTTCACAAACTCGCTGAACAAATATAATTTTGACAGTTGTGTCAAAAAATTTCCAATTTTATCATTTTTATCAACAAAAATTACAAAAATTTTCGGCTCAATAATTGTCAAATGTAATTATTGTCAAAATCATATGACATTGTGGCAGGTATCAATTTTTTTAAAAATTCACAGAGCAAATTTAATTTTGACAGTTGTCAAAAAAAAAATTCAATTAATAAAAATGACACAATTTTGATTATTATGAAATTTATTAATTGACATTTCATTATCAAAATTATGTGACATTTTGACAAGTGTAAATTTTTTACAAATTCACTAAACAAATTCACTTTTGACAGCTGTTGAAAATTTTCCAATTTCAATCAACAAACATTAAACAAACTTAAAACCCAATAATTGACATCTTATTATTGAAATTGGGACATTTTGACAAGCGTTAATTTTTTACAAATTCAATTTTGGCAGCTGCCTAAAATATTTCAATCAACAAAAATGACAATGACAACTTTTGACAGGTGTCAATTTTCTTACAAATTCATTGAACAAATTTAATTTTGATAGTTGTCAAAAATGTTTCAATTAAAATTGACACAAATTTGAAGTTCTATAATTTATATTTCCTTATGAAAATCGTATATTTTGACAGGTGTCAATTTTTTCTAACATCTATTGGACAAATTAAATTTTGACAGCTGTCAAAAAAAATTCAATTTCAATTCATGAAAATTGACATATATTTGAAAATAATTTACATCTTATTGTCAAAGTTTTATGACATTTTGACAAATGTAAATTTTTTTACAAACTCGCTGAACAAATTCAATTTTGAAGTCTAACATTTCATTGTCAAAATCATATTACATGTTGACAGGTGTCAATTCTTTTATAAATGCACTAAATAAATTCAATTTTGACAGCTGCCAGGAATTTTCAATTAGAAGTTATACAAATTTGAAGCTCAATATTCAACATTTCATTGTCAAGAAACGTAACATTTTGGCAGGTGTCAATTTTTTTACAAATTTACTGAAAAAATTAAATTTTGACAGCTGTCAAAAATTTGTCAATATTAGTTAAAATTAACACAAACTTGAAACTTAATATTTGACAAAATATAATCAAAAATCGTAACATTTTGGCAAAAAAAATTGATCCAAAATCTCTGACGGGTTCCTAGAAAATTGAGTTTGAAAATTTTGACAGCTGTCGAAAATTTTTCAATTTTGATTTGTAAAAATTTTATTTACTGCCCCAATAATTGACATATTTTTCGAGCTATTTTGCCAATACAATTTTAATATGTCACCTACAAAATTTTATCTACAGAAGCAATAATTGATATTATATTATCAAAAATCGTGACATTTAACAGATGTCAATTTTCTTCTGTTAAATTTTTCGATTTTTTTTTCAAAGTTAATTTTTAAATGTCACCTATAAAATTTCATCTACGATCCTAACAACTGACATTATATTGTCAAAATTATATGACATTTTAACAGGTGTCATTTTTTTTTTTGCAAAAATACTGGGAAAAATTTAACTTTGACAGCTGTCAAATTTTTTTCAATTTCAATCAAAAATGACACAAACTTGAAGTTAAATATTTGACATCTTATCTCAATGTTAAAAATCGTGACATTTTAACAAGTGTCAATTTTTTCACAAACTCGCTGAACAAATATAATTTTGACAGTTGTGTCAAAAAATTTCCAATTTTATCATTTTTATCAACAAAAATTACAAAAATTTTCGGCTCAATAATTGTCAAATGTAATTATTGTGAAAATCATATGACATTGTGGCAGGTGTCAATTTTTTTAAAAATTCACAGAGCAAATTTAATTTTGACAGTTGTCAAAAAAAAAATTCAATTAATAAAAATGACACAATTTTGATTATTATGAAATTTATTAATTGACATTTCATTATCAAAATTATGTGACATTTTGACAAGTGTAAATTTTTTACAAATTCACTAAACAAATTCACTTTTGACAGCTGTTGAAAATTTTCCAATTTCAATCAACAAAAATTAAACAAACTTAAAACCCAATAATTGACATCTTATTATTAAAATTGGGACATTTTGACAAGCGTTAATTTTTTACAAATTCAATTTTGGCAGCTGCCTAAAATATTTCAATCAACAAAAATGACAAAAACTTGAAGCTTAAGATCACATGAACTTTTGACAGGTGTCAATTTTCTTACAAATTCATTGAACAAATTTAATTTTGATAGTTGTCAAAAATGTTTCAATTAAAATTGACACAAATTTGAAGTTCTATAATTTATATTTCCTTATGAAAATCGTATATTTTGACAGGTGTCAATTTTTTCTAACATCTATTGGACAAATTAAATTTTGACAGCTGTCAAAAAAAATTCAATTTCAATTCATGAAAATTGACATATATTTGAAAATAATTTACATCTTATTGTCAAAGTTTTATGACATTTTGACAAATGTTAATTTTTTTACAAACTCGCTGAACAAATTCAATTTTGAAGTCTAACATTTCATTGTCAAAATCATATTACATGTTGACAGGTGTCAATTCTTTTATAAATGCACTAAATAAATTCAATTTTGACAGCTGCCAGGAATTTTCAATTAGAAGTTATACAAATTTGAAGCTCAATATTCAACATTTCATTGTCAAGAAACGTAACATTTTGGCAGGTGTCAATTTTTTTACAAATTTACTGAAAAAATTAAATTTTGACAGCTGTCAAAAATTTGTCAATATTAGTTAAAATTAACACAAACTTGAAACTTAATATTTGACAAAATATAATCAAAAATCGTAACATTTTGGCAAAAAAAATTGATCCAAAATCTCTGACGGGTTCCTAGAAAATTGAGTTTGAAAATTTTGACAGCTGTCGAAAATTTTTCAATTTTGATTTGTAAAAATTTTATTTACTGCCCCAATAATTGACATATTTTTCGAGCTATTTTGCCAATACAATTTTAATATGTCACCTACAAAATTTTATCTACAGAAGCAATAATTGATATTATATTATCAAAAATCGTGACATTTGACAGATGTCAATTTTCTTCTGTTAAATTTTTCGATTTTTTTTTCAAAGTTAATTTTAAAATGTCACTTATAAAATTTCATCTACGATCCTAACAACTGACATCATATTGTCAAAATTATATGACATTTTAAGGTGTCATTTTTTTTTTGCAAAAATATTGGAAAAAATTTAACTTTGACAGCTGTCAAAATTTTTTCAATTTCAATCAAAAATGACACAAACTTGAAGTTAAATATTTGACATCTTATCTCAATGTTAAAAATCGTGACATTTTAACAAGTGTCAATTTTTTCACAAACTCGCTGAACAAATATAATTTTGACAGTTGTGTCAAAAAATTTCCAATTTTATCATTTTTATCAACA